TCTTGTATAATTTGGTATGTATTATGATGACAAAAATTTTGACATTATTTGACAATGTCAGATAATTTCATAAATTTTCAATATAAAGAGTTATTCTTATCAATACAGGATACCTTCTATTACTGTGTAATCTTCGTATAGTATACAATCTTCTAATCACCACAATAGAATATTTTCACTGCTTGAACCAAGTGATTTTAATGAAATTGTTACAGTGAAACTCTCTTGGATTAGTCAGATACAGGGTGTCAAAGAAGATAAGAGCTAGAATTTGATCATATTGACATGTCGAAGTTAACTTCTGGTCTGACCGGAAGTAACATCAACTTTCTTATTTTAAATAGAAACCCTATACTTTTTTCTTTTCGCTTTATTCAGCATTCAATTCCCTATCTAATGACATATCACAAGTTGGTATCTAACCAGAAACTAGATCAGGAGAAAATTATTATGCAAATTCACCGAGTAGGCCGTGGAAGCAAAATGGGAGCCAACAATTGAAAAGTTGGCTATGGAAACCATACGTCACTTGATAACAGTTGCTACTACTGTGATATTTTATTCTCATTCGTCGGCGTTATAAAAAGCCGCCAAAAAAAATATTGGAAAAATTGGGAGAAAAGCCATACTCTGTAGATCCAATACTTAAATAGGAACATACGACTTTTTCTTGACTGTACCATTCAGCATAACCATTCCTTTCTAATGATATAATAGAAAGTCATTTTTTGGTTTTCATTCTGCTTCCACGGCCTACTCGGTGAATTCCAATAATATTTTTTTCTGATCTAGTTTCTGGTTGGATACCAACTTGTGATATGTCATTGAAAAGGGAATTGAATGCTGAATAAAGTGAAAAGAAGAAAATATAGGGTTTCCATTCAAAATAAGAAAGTTGATGTTACTTCCGGTCAGACCGGAAGTTAACTTCGACATGTCAATATGATCAAATTCTAGCTCTTATGTCATTATATCGACGCTCCAGATTTCACGAACCTACTTCATACAATAACTGAGATATTCCGTAGGCAATACTTCCGTAGCCACCCGGTATATACAGTGTGTCCACCTTAAGGACTTACCACCCCTGTAAAATCATTATTATCTGATCGATTTTGGAATTTTTTTTTTGTTGGATAGGTATTTGAAATGTCCATCCAAGAAGAGATTGATTTTATTTTTGGACTGTTATCGTAGCCAACTGCGACCAATTTCATTGACTCATATTTCAAAAAGTACTATTAGGGATTTTTTTCCACAAAAAATAATGATGGATTCTGAATCAGGATCACTTCAAACATACCTGTACCGATTTCCATCGTCATAAGTCACAGGGTGTCCTAAAAAATTAATTATTATTTTTTGAATATTTCATCAGAAAAATGCACTCTATCGTGGCATTTTCGGAAAGAACTAATTATGGTTTCTTATTGAAAATTACTTTATACATATCTGTACCAAAGTTCATGGTTTCGAAGGTAACTTCACTCTGCACAGGAAGCCCGAGAAAAAAAACATAAAAACTATGATAAATTAATTTATATTTTTCTTCTTTTTAATGAATACCGAGGTGAAAACTATTTTATACAAGAATCAAAAAAGGCTAGTTTGTAAAAAATGTTGAATATCAGTCATTTCTATTAATCCACCGAATTCTCTAATACATTTTTCAATACGTCGACGATTATTGTTCACTACTCTTCTTAATTGCTGTCTAGAGATACTTTGACAAGCTTCTCTGATGCGGTCACAAAGCTCTTCTCGGGTCTGAGGCCTTGTAGCATAAACTTTGTTCTTTATCGTACCCCAAAGAAAGAAATCAAGAGGCGTAATATCTGGGGATCTCGGCGGCCAACGAATAAGAGGACTATTTCGTCCTATCCAGCGATTCGGAAAATTATCATTCAACCAGTTTCTCACAGCAACGGCATTATGGATAGGTGCTCCATCAAGTTGTAAATGTATATTGTAGCGATAATCAAGAGGGAGCTCATCAAGTACAACGGTGAACTCATTTTGCAAAAATCTTAAAAAGCTGGCAGCATTTAAATTTTCATAAAAAAAGTATGGGCCAATAATCTTTTCATTCAATATGCCACAGAAAACATTTACCTTTGAGGAGTATTGCCTCTTACATTCTATTACCCAATGTGGATTATCTTCGCTCCAAATTCTAATATTTTGTGACGAGACAACACCATTTGTTGTAAATGTAGCTTCATCTGAGTACATAATTTGTTTCAAAAACTCAGGATTCTCTAGGTACATACCTTGCAGCCTTAAACAGAATTCCATTCTTGAATCAGTATCTCCAGCTTCAAGGGTATGAAGAAATTTTGGCTTGAAGGGTTTCTTACCGCTTTTTTTCAAACATTTCCATATATGGCTTTTAGAAATATTCAAATTCCTACTTGCATCTCTGAGGCTTGAATGTGGATTATCATTGAAATAATCAATTATGATTTGATTTGCTCTCGGTTCTCTATTACGATGCTGGTTTGGAAGTCTCTCTACTGTTTCATGTTGATCAAAAAATCTGTTTATTTTTGCAACTGTTACATGGTTGATATTGCGTTCTGGATATCGTCTGTTGAATTCATTAGCTGCTTCACGAAAAGTACGCGTTCCATCACCAACTAATCTTATTAATTCCACTCTTTCCTGTAGAGAATATGACATTTTTCAATTTTTCTACGGCTTTGAAACAGTATAAACTACTGAACAAAGGTGGATATATGTATGGTGAAATAGCTCCCTCTTACAAAACCCTAGAAATTTTTGTAGACCTCTGGCCTACTTGATTATGTCAAATTCTATCACCCTAGTAAGGCCGCGCAAAACTAACGCTAGATGGCGCTGTTGCCGAAGTGATCTTGCTACACAATGGTTGTATTGTTTTGTTGTTTACATTTACGTATATTAATTCGTAATTTGAAAACATTGAGAAAAAATGATTGATTTAATGAAAAAGACATGAAATTTTCATTATATCTGTGAAGTATAATATGTGGCATGATGTTCCCTACGCCATCTACAGTCAATCCGGTGCGGCCTTGCTACGGTGTTTCGCGGTCTACACGTTTTGGAAAGAAACAATTGACAAGTGGTTACACCAGTCTATTTTCATCATGTACTGAACTATCATTAATTGACAGCTAATACATAAAATAATAGATTTTGTTTCCACAGCACTCTTAGTGGAGTACAGATTCATGATGCTGTTACTGTGAGAACTGGCCAATCATTTCAGACGAATTATTCGAATTTCGGAGTGAATATATTCTAGTTTCATGACAATCATAATAATAATAATAATAACTTTATTGTTTAAATTCTTATACTCTTATATGGTAATTATCGACTAGAATAACTCTTATTGAAAGAATTATTATGATAAATACCACAATAGTGCATTTTTTGGATGAAATATTCAAAAAATAATAATTAATTTTTTAGGACACCCTGTGACTAATGACGATGGAAATCGGTACAGGTAGGTATGTTTGAAGTGATCCTGATTCAGAATCCATCATTATTTTTTGAGGAAAAAAATCCCTAATAGTACTTTTTGAAATATGAGTCAATGAAATTGGTCGCAGTTGGCTACGATAACAGTCCAAAAATAAAATCACTCTCTTGTTGGATGGACATTACAAATACCTATCCAACAAAAACAAGTTTTCCAAAATCGATCAGATAATAACGATTTTACAGGGGTGGTAAGTCCTTAAGGTGGACACACTGTATATACATTCAGTTGAATATTTTTTTATCACAAGAGTTCACTAAAGATCGCCGTTCACATTGCTAAAGGGGATTGTTGGTTTGAACCCGGCCATCGGAAGATCATTTTCAATACCTAACATAAATGGTGCACTCGTTAAGCGTTCTTGTTCTGTGCTCTGATAATATCTTGCTCGTATCTTGGTACCCAAGAAGTGGTTCAAAATCCACTAGGAGCTATGTAGTCGTCTAGCACTTCTCAACTACGCATTAACATGCACATTCAGACTTGGGATTTCAACTTTGAAGACGCGATACACTAACAATATATTCAACTCTTTGATATAGATACATCAATATCTGGTACATTAGAGTTCCACAAAGTGACTATATGTTTTCACAAAATTATTATAAGAGTTCGTATACGAAGATGATCTAAAGAATTCTTGGTTGAACCAGTGTACATTTATGTACGCTGGTTGAACAGAGATGTGAAATCTGTTTGAGTCAGTCAATTCAGGAAGTTGCTGCTGTTTCATCATTAGATGATCGACCATGATCTCCATGGTGGCTATTGTGATCTCTGCTCCATCAATCCATCACAAGCAATAACCAGAGTCTAAATTGGAATAAGGTTCTTTTCGATAATCGCTCAGTTTATAAATTATAGGTTCGGCTCTTTCTCTCAATACGATCCTATTATTCAACATCAAATCTTCCATTCTAAAGTGTACCTGATAAAAATGTGTTCTATATCCTACCAAGAAATTTGAATACCTCGCAAATTTTGTGGCCTGAACCTATATTCCATGCCGGCCGCACCATATTCTGTTTCCATTTTTGGAGTATTACGTTATCCGATGGAAATTCGAATAGAGTGAATTGATTTCCCGTGTTCTCACAGTTGGAAACTGCACAAACTTGCATCTTTCTTCTAACTCTCTCAATTTGTCAGACCTTTGAAATTTATGACATGTACGTCCGTGTACTGTCAGTTCCCGCTTTTTTCATCAATTCATTTGTGGTTATGTCTGATTGTCAGTGCTTGTCATAGTGTCCGTACTCTAATATACAAAAAACGTCGAAACAGCAGTGTCAAGTACATTTAGGAACTCTAATATAATCTATCGATTCCGTGCGGATTTTGCCGGGACGCTATGTGGCAAAAATCTTGGTCGCTATCTCTCTTACTAGTACGTAATTGCATTGTGTAAGAATCCTTACAAGTAATTAATGGAATTCCAAACGGATCCATTGTATCGTGAACGTTCCACCAGGTGGCGCTACCGCCTCTGCCGTCAAAGAGGCCTTCAAAATAGTCACCTCCGACCCGAAGGTGCACGCCATCCTCGTGAACATCTTCGGCGGCATCATGAGATGTGACGTCATCGCCGAGGGCATCATCTCGGCGGCCAAAGAGCTGCAACTCAAGATGCCGATCGTGTGCCGGCTGCAAGGGACGAACGTCGACGATGCCAAAGTGTTGATCGCCTCGTCCGGCCTGAAAATCCTGCCGGTCGACAATCTGGACGAGGCCGCACGATTGGTCGTCAAATTGTCGAGTATTGTCAGTTTGGCGCGCGATGCGAAACTGGATATCAACTTCGAGATGCCTCTGTAGGTCGTTCGAATTCTGGCTGGCAGTATTTACAGGTTAGGCAGAATAAACTGAAACATTTATTTATTCATTTATTTTTATTACCCTTATAAATGGTGATTCATTTAGTGCTTTCAATTGAAATGTAGGCGACACTGTACAATGTTGATGTTTCATTCTTTTTTTGACGATTTTGTATGTTAGGTTATTGCAAAACAACATGGATTCATCACGATGCGGCTGCAGCTTCGACCATAGAACAGACTATATGTGTAGAACCAACGACATAACCTACTATCTTCAACGGTAATGCCTTACGGCAAAAGCTCATCAATTTGCGAGATCAAACTAGATCTCATGGAACATGCGTATTTAGGACCAGTCAAATCTTACTCTTACCCATATTTTTGAAAACCATGTGACATAAGTAAATGTCATGAATGACAATTTGGATCCTTGTGCAGAACCGTTTTCAGGTGGTGATTTGGAATGAGATTTTCGGGTTGTTGAGCCCATGTCAAAGAAGAAAGGAAAGAAGAAGGGAAGGAAACAACATGGATCATTTAACGGCACGAGGGCGTTTAGGAATTATCAAAATTTGATATCAAAGGCGATGTTCAATAAAAGAAAATAATTATTACCTACTAACGTGAACGAATTGCGCACCAATGTTCCTTTTATTGAGCATTGACTGATAATAATGAACGATGATGATATCCCAATGTTCTTGTGCCGTTACATGTAGTTTTTCCTAAGGTTTATTTGAAAGAACTAAATGAATCAGCCTTAACTAGAAAAATATTTGTATCTATAACATTTTATTGCATGTTTTTTGAACCATAAATAATTATTATTCTGTGAAGTGTTGAAGCGCATAATTTTCGTAGCCCGATTGCAAAGAAAATTTTCAAACTCAAATTCTCACACTATCTAGCAAAGATGCCTTTAAAAACGAAGGTATCTCTTATCATAAAATCAGTGCAAAGTCTTGCTACAAATATTTCCCGTTGGTCCGATATCACTTCAATTTACATATTTCCATCAGTATGTGCTTCGAAATTTCATCCTCTTTGGGTAGTCTTCCCATAAACTCCTTACTGATTATATCATCTAACCTGAATATATATTTTTTCGTTCTAGTCATTATAAGTTTCCTTTGTAATTGGTTCAAAGTAGAACCAAGAAATAATATCAATGTAGGTACACATAAATGTATAAGCTTTCATGGTGACAAAATTCTGTATGGTTGAAGACTGACAAAGCCCCAAAATATCAAAATGATTTTATTGGGGTTAATGGATGTCTTGGAAACACCTACATAGAAATTTGGAGTCGAATCAATTTTTCATTGTTTTTCTCCTCAAAAACTAAGCTAGCTACAAAAATCACACAGGGGATAAGAAAGTTGTTATTTCAATAGTTCAATCTAATTAAAATATGGAAATATCGATAAATTTACCTACTGTGATGCCACTGGAAATATTATTTCGTTACAATAATTAACAAAACCACAAAGTTTTATTGAAATTGATGAAAAGATATTTTTTGAGGAATGAATAAAAAACGATTTTATATAGAAATATTACTTAATATCCTGTATCTCAAAAACTAAGCAAGTTAGGACACATGTTGATATGAAATATCACAAAAAAAAACACCTAAAATTTGTCGCCCTTATTTAGAAACACCCTGTATAATAATTCAAAATTACACCAAGTGACGTAAGACGATGTCATGAATGACATTTTGAAGCGTTTTCAGGCGATTTCCATAGAATAGGGAGTCATATAAAAAACATATTCCTTAATTAACATTCAAAATGCTCCATAAACCATTAGATTTCAAACCATCTGAACATACGCTCAATCCAGTGGCGTATTCAGATTGTCCGTTGAAATTCGCTACTAAGACATTTTTGCTACCTCCCTTTCCCCAAAAATTACATGGTTGGTCTTGACTTTTATTTAAAAAATGTTACATTGTGATGAAGTAGCTCTTCAGATATTGAACTAGTTAAAATTGGAAGATGTATTACTGTTAGAAACCAACAGACTTTAAATTTTGATTATGTTAATTTCCTTACAATTGCACTAAAGTACCTACCCAATATTCTCATCATGGATTTGATTCTCAACTAGAAGATCTATTGAGAATGTGAATTAACATATTCTAATTTTACTCTTCTGATCCATCCAAGAACAAGTTTGTATCAATAACCAAATAAAAATAGTATATTTTCAGTTTATTCTGGACCACTTAGCCTATTGAATATGTTATGTAATTTTAGAGTGGTTGATAGGCTATCACCACTGTTTCTTACACTCTCTGTATTATAAATATATATTATGTATAATAATTGATAATTATATTATGTATATTTAAAAAAGACGAAGTGTATTGTCATTAATTTCTAAGAACATCTATTTATATTCTTGTTGCACTGTACATTTTATTTATTTTATGAAATTATTAATATAAATCATGATTCGACTAATCTTGCATGTTTGTCTAGAGTAAATAGGACACTTAAATGAATCGAAATTATGGGGAGATTATAGTCCAGATCATTGCTTAATATGGAGAAAAAAATCTAGTGAGCTGGAGTATCTGGTCTGCCCAAACAAGGAAAATCACCTACAGGGTTCTGTGGCCGATACAGTAGTACCGCCATACGGTCAACTCGAGGAAACACTCATTTAAATTGTTTTCCTGTCAAACCTACATAACCTTAAAAATCGTAAATGAGTTGGAGCCTCCCTCAGTGGTACTCCCGGCAGTCTCGGACGGCGGCGTAGTTTGTTCAGTGAGTTTGAGTTCAGTCACGGGTCACGGTCACTCAGTCACTCAAAAATTCAAAAATAGTTCATGCACTTGTGGAGATATCACAGATATGTAGAGACCGAGCCCCCTTACTGGCATACTGGCCCTTACAGCTCTGGGGCCCGATTCTCGAATCTGTAGGAAAAAGATCGTATAGGAGGATGATCCAATGCTTTCAGTTCTCATAGAAAATGATGATTTGTCATGACACCTATTCTTGAACCAGATGGAATCGTTTTTCCCATGAGAGGTAGAATTAGTAGTATCGATTATTAGCATTTGATAAAGGCTCTGATTTTCTTACTTGTAATGATCCTGTAACACTCAATATCGAATGTATCCACTTATGTCGCAAAGAAATATCACTTGGAAATCCATGAATGGAGATGACTTCACAATCTCTGGTAGGCACAATAAGAGGAGACAGAGTTTGTTACACACTGATAATCAGAATAAACTACTATAATACTGGGAGCACAACACAAAACTATGATATTTTAGAAAAAAATACAAAACAAGGCACGATGGCATGACAGCTCTTGACGCTGACAACTAATGACAACTTACATAACCACAAATTTCGAAAATTTTCTAGAAAGAAGTGGAGATCATTTCGTACGATACGGTAACATCCTCTAGTGGTCATACACTCAACTGAGCAATAGGGAAGACCAGTAATTCCAGCTCACTAGATTTGTTCTCCATATTTAGCAGACAATGGTCCAGATTATCCCAGTATATTATAAAGTGAATTTTGATTCAAAGTGGTCGATCCAGATACACATTTTGGGATGTCTGACTGTCACTTCTGGTTCACCTGAAGTACTATCAACTGTGTATTGAAGGGGATCACCCTATATATTTCAGTTTTATGAAAAACTCTTATTATAATAAAATATACAGATCATAGCTTTATTATATTGGAGTTAGATCAATCCCTAGAAACCTTTTTCCAATGAGTAAATTTGCTTTATGAATCCATTCCCATAACATTGAACTGAATGCAAGTTCAAGAAAGTATGTTTTTTTTTTGGCGTAGAGGCACAATTTTTTATCCTTCATCCAAAATACAGATAGTGCCAAAAGTTGGTGCATGTTCAGTGATCATTTTAGGTGCACTTGAAATGGTTGCAAGTCAAACAGCTTTCAGGGTAGGTCAAAAAATATGAAAATTGTTCAAGAGTAAAGTACCCTTATTTCAGAAAATTCAGCTAAATGTTAATGAGAAAAGTTGTTTGCAATTGAAAGTTATGCCAAAATACCAAAACATGGCCTCCGAAGACATATTCGAGTTTTTAAATTTTTTTCGTGAATGATATCCCAATTCGTATTTTTTTTTTATATTCACCCTGAACACTTCTCTAAGTTAATCATAACAAAATCAGTTGATTAAACCTTTGTTCAAATTCAAGCATATTTGTGCAATTAACTTGGATTTAAATTTTTTTTAGAGAATCACAAACTTTATATTTGTTGCAACGATATTTAGTTTAACTTTAAAACAACTTCACATCTAATCATCTAATGATGTTTTACCTTGTTAAAAATATGGTTTGCGAAATCTTAAAGTTGAGCTGAATATCGTTGCAACAAACATATATTTTGTGATTCCTTAAAAAAGTAAAAAGTTGATTGCACAAATATTTTATTGCCGCCGGCAATAGCCTACAAAAACCACAAGTATAATATTTTTTACGCCGGCGGAAGTAGAAGTTAGTTTCTCTGGTAACAAAAGAGGGGCAGAAGTCTCGTATTATTCCCTATAAATAAAAAATAAAATTTTCTCCCTAGGGAGTTTATACCAACTTTACATTTTCCGCATAGCTCTGAGCTTTCTTTTCGGAACACCTTTCTCTGAAACGAGTATAAGCTGCACCATACAGATTTCTAGATCTTACTGGTAGCAAGTTAAGAATCATTGCAGAAGCAGTATCAATAGTTTCTTGGGGTTTCTCCTCGATTTCTTGTTCCATAACCGTTAACCATTTTTAAAGCTGTTTTGACACAGGATGCATGTTGTCAAGATACGAATTCCACAAACTATACTACTACTAATTATGACAAAACACTTTGACCAAATTATTATTCTTTCTTGATTTTTGTGTTTTCGCCAGCGTAAAAAATAGTATATATACACACCTCAGGACAGAATGCTATTTACCCTCGGTGCTTTGTATCTCTCGAGCTTCGCCCTCGAGCTACAAATCGCAACTTGGAAAAAATCTTGTATTTCTGTCCCCT